TTTCCCCTCCCCCACACACATCCGTATCGTCTCAGGGGGTGACCACAGTGTTCTGCCTTAATTCGTGACGTTTTTCTAAGAACTGGGTGCTATATACTGTGCGAAATCAATGGATCATGAGAGAATAAATTTCTGGACATCCCTGTTCTAAGAATTCCAATTGAATGTGTTTGTGTGGCCAGCTCAGGGCAATATGATATTATAAACACAGGAGATATCACTCTGCTGTTTATAATTTCATAGCAAAGAAAACACATTCATAAACATAAACTGCTCGCAAGAGCCACAGGAACTTTGCTGCAAGACAGGCATATGTAACGATGACTTGGCGCTCTTAAACTCGTTTCTCATTATAAACCGTTCTTGTGACAACAGGCCAGCGAAGAATCTAACAATCTACAGCAAAACCATCAATTATTATGGGCGTTATAACATAGGTGTGCAGCTGGACGAAACATACACGTCGAACCCCCCCAGACGATTTAAATACCTGACGAAACATACACGTCAAACCACGCCAACGCGTTAATACACACTGCAGATGAACCGTGTAACACTGACTGCTTTATTTTTATAGTATTTTACTTCTCTCCATATCCAAACGGATTATACCGTAATGCTTCAATGAGAAGATGTTTTTAAATCGAGATATTTAATTTGTTCTTACTTTAATGAAAGTAAGTCTTTTTGGAAATCAGTAAACATTTTAAAATTCAAGTATTGTATTTTGGGAGCTCGGATATCATGGTATAGTGACTGGCTATGGGCTGGATGACTAAGGGGTTGGAATTCAAGTCCTGTTAGGGTCAAGTTGTCCAGACTGGCTCTGGGGTCCACCCAACCTCCAGTCCAGTTGGTACTGGGGGCTCTTGCCCCCAGGAGCTAAAGTGGCCGGGGCGTGAAGTTGACCACTCACCTCCAACTAATGTTGAAGTCAAGAAAATATGGATCTATATATGTACTCCCCCATGTGCCTTCATAGCATAGTGCTTAATTAAGTGAGCACAGGGTCAACTTTTTACGTTAGTATTGTATTTTGATGCTGTAAATGCTTAATTAAATTCGAAAGTTTGCATACCACCTGGGTTATAATCAGATGTTTACAGGAATTAGAGCATTAAGCCTAGATATGTTAATTTGTAAGGTTTTCATCGTGTTTTAACTGTTATTTACTGAAATCATTTTGGTTTTTCTTTTCAGTCATATGAGAAACAGGGTTTCCATTCAGGGACACCACCCCCATTCAGTTTACCAGGTAGCCAGAGCACACCCATGGGGCCCAGTGGTACTTATCCGCAACATCTCTTTATTCCTGCCATGGCACCACATCAGCAACACCACTCCACTCCTCTTATACATCAGCCTCTGCATCAGGTGACAGTGCCATAGTTAAGCTCAGCTGCTCGCCTTGTTCATTTGGCTTCTATTACATTAACTGGTATTAATTTATCCATCCATAAGAAGTAACTCTTCTGTAAGATTTAAAGCTTTCACAGTGAATAAATGCACCAAAATCCTCTTGGGCAATCAGCTGTATCAGAGTTGGGATAAAAATCAATTTTTCGGAGGCCTGCTATATCTCCACTCAATTTGATTCTGTTCTACTGAGACCTGATGCACCAATAAGGAAGAGACATTGCATTGACTGATTGATATATGTGTGATCCAGTAGCTTATGTTTGTACCCCACATTGACTACAATGACGGAGACAGAACAGGTCTCCAGAACATGGGGTTTTGACTTAACTTTGATGTAGTTGATTGCTTAAGAGGAGTCTGTTGCAAATAACTGTTTGATGTGCATTGATTGCTCCTGTTATATGTGTGACAGTTAATTTGAAAGAAAGTCAGAATATAGTAGAAGTCTGATGTAACAAGTTCAGCTTGTAAAGTGAAGTCCGTTTTAATGAGCATTCTCTTGTGAACCATCAGTTTAATCATATTAAATATAGCAATATTCTTTGGTTTTGGCAAGAGTACTTTGTCATATTTTGTGCTGTAAGTGCTTTTCTCTCCTTTATGGAAATAAATATGTTTGACTATGTGGCTTAATTATTAATTTCTGTTCTTCAAGAATCACACAGCGTTCTTGTGTCTTGGATTCATTAGGAGCATGGATGGAGAGGGAAAGAGAATAGGAACCTTTGTTCCCAATCCTCTCAATACATGAGTAGGAGGGTAGCTATCAGTGCATCACAAGAAATAAGAGAAAATATTAATAATATTTACGTCTTCTCCATGGATGTATATGGCTTGGTGCACCATTTGCCACCCTGTAAGGCCAGCATGGGCTGTTCCATCCTGCTCTACACTTGCAAATAATACTTCATTCTTATGGGTAAAGTCATACAGATGGGTTGGTCTAGTTCATCAGAAGTGGGTCAGTTTGCTGCCTGGATTGGTGTAAAGCAGATGGTCTTATAATCGTTACATTTCACTTCCAAATACAAAAGGTAAATTCCCTGAATGTTGAGAGTTGGCCCCATTATGCTACTGCTACTACCTTCTCTTATGCAAATTTATGGGTCTCATAATGGGGCAGGTCTCTGTGTTTGCATAGAACAACTTTTGGTGAGAGTCCCAGAGATGAATGACCACCCTGCTTATGTGTGAACAAATTAGATTTGTCCCAGAAATAGACAGATTATTAGTTTCAACAAAGTTTTTTATGATGGTTCTGGTAAGCTAAAAAAGAAATGTCTGCACTACCGAACTTAATGATTATTTATGGTGTTTTGTAAGGACTTTTAACACATGCTGTATGTCCTGTGGAAGTTCCTCAATTAAACAGGGACTTAGTGCATTCAGATGTCTACAGACCTGTCATTACTGCTACTCACAAAATAGCCACAAAACATTACTTTGTAAATGTTTCACTTCTTGTGGGAATACATAGCAAATCCATGGTAGTGGTGTGTCCTGGAACGTAAAGGCCCCATGTTTTAGCAGTAATGATAGACATGATAGAAGTTTTCAAGAAACTGCACACCAGAGTAGGGGAGGGGGGAGTAGAAATGCTTGAAAGTTCAGTCCAAAATACTGTGGCATGTAGACCAATTGCTAAGTAAGGGCTCTGCCAACTGACATAAATGTGACAGTTCCATGGCAACAGGAGGATACAACAAAAACAGGAAGAGTTGTTCTCTGTGTGGCCCATGCGAAGGCTACATAACAAGGGCCAGCTGCAATTAGAGCAGAGTCTTGAGTCTTGAGATGGCAGTTAGAAGAGTAGGATGTAGTTGCAAGCCAGCCACCATTCAGCAAGGACATGGGCATGGAAGCAGAAGACATTGCTGGGATCCATTACCATGCAGTGACTGATGAAGACATAGCAAACTGGGAAGACTTTATGTATGCTATAGTTACAGTGAGCTCTGGAGTGTGTAACTCAGTGAGACTGTCAGTTATTAGTAGTTACATTCTGTAAGTGTTCAGTGAATCCAATTACCAATCCAAACCTGTCTATAGTCACACTGTTATGTGACAACTGGTGTCAGAAGTGCGATTGGATTTGAGACCTCAGTAGGTAGCTATATCACCAAATTATGGCCCACCTGCTGGCCAAAATGAAGCCTACAGTAAGAACCAGTCAAGCCAAGGCAGGCACCAATCTAAAGGAAATGAAAGTAGACATGGCAGCAAGGCTGGAAGCCATGATGCAGAACAACTGAGAAGAATTGCTAGCCAAGATGTAAACCAACCAGGAAAGGATGGAAGCCAAGAAGGCTTGGCAAAAAGAGATAGCTTGCCAAGAAGCAATGGAGGCCTGTGTAGGAAAATTGTAGGCCAGTCAAGAAATGTTGGATGCTGTACCTGAACACTGGGATGTCCCTAAAGAAGAGGCCACAATGGGAACTCTCGGAGCTCTGGAGGACTGATATAGGGACTGGTTTCTAGCCATGGGGTGCTGCTGACAGCTGAAGAAACAGATCCAGGGTGATGGTCAGTTCCGGCAGAAGTTGGCCATTGGCTGTTGCCCAAGGACAGTTGGCCTATCACACTGTTCCTGCACCGCACATGAGACACAGTCATCAGGCACCAGGCAGGTACAGTGTTGTAAGAGGAGCCCATAAAGGACAGATGCTTGATAGGAGAAGACTGAAGGGCCCAGAATGCAACAGTGGAATAAAGGACCAAGGTGCAAGATGTTAGCTGTATCTGAGGAAGGAGAGCACATGACAGGATCCTCAGGAAGACCATAGAGTTGGAGGTCTTGAAGTGAGTAATCAGGATTACCATCATGTTGTGGAAAGTGAATGAGTGGACATGGTGGAGGGATTGGCCCCCTCCAAAACGAAAGAAGACACATCAAAGGTGGAACCCTAGATCGAGGATGGTGGTGGTGCACTTGAACTGGCTCAGGACGAGTGGCTTTAAGGAGGGAGCAGTTGGAGAACTGAGCCACGGGGAAGGAAGGTGAGACCGACCACAGATGTCACAAGCACAACCCTCAGAAAATAAGAAATGGCAGTATGCCTGTAGGCTGTTCAGAAAGAATAGCCTTAAGGAAGGAGCAACGTGGCATTTAGACCCGTTGCTAGATAACAGCTCCAGCAAAGACATAGCAAACTGAGAAAACTATATGTGCTGTACTTAGACTGTGTAACTCAGTGAGACTAGTTATTTGTAGTTACGTTTTGTAAATGTTCAGTAAATCCAATTACAAATCCAAACCTGTCTTATAGTCACTCATACATGTGACAGTATAATTGCTATTCACTGCAAGACCATACAGCTGTCATTTATTGGATAGTTGGTAGTATACAGACAGTTCTCAGTATCATGTACACAGTGTTCAAAGTAAGAATGTATACTGTTAAAAAACTTGCATGGTATGTTTTCTATCTTGTATTGACTTAAAATGTGACAGTATGATTTCACACATAGTCTTTGTATTACAGAATAACTACTGATTCCACCATAAATTCCAGTATTTTTGCTGGCTGAAGGAAGATAGCTAAAAATTTATCTTCTAAGCTGCCATGTCAACAATTTTTTAGTGTTAATTTTGGATTCTGTTGAGTTCTCATTATAACGGACTTTCACTATAGTTTGCATCTTAGACAGCAGACATAGTATATCTTTACAGAAATGTTATAAATCTATTTTGAAATATTTTAGTTATATTTAATTATGTTTATTACCCAGCGTCCTATGTAATGGGTATTTGGAAGTCTTTCCCAGGGCTAAAGTGGCCAGAGCATGAAGTTGACAACTCAGCTCCAAGTATTGCGAAGGTTAATGTGTGTGTGGAGCTATACCTCTATCCCCCCATACATCTTCATTGCATCTACTTAATTATGTATAGGAACAACATCTTTATCCTGTAATTTTAGTAGATAAAATTGAGTAGTGTGCTGTAGACATGAGTAATATTCCCAATTTGGTATTGGTGAATAATTGCACTTTCCTTACATAACTATGTAACAGTAAAGTTGTTCATTTGCTTCATATCACACAGAGAAAGCAGGCAACATCTCTGCATTCTAGACTGTGGCAGTGGACAGAGTTGAATGGTTTCTTGCACTTATAACACTTGCTCCTGGCAAAAACAGTCATCTTATCCATATCCTAAGCTGGGTGGGACTCCGATCCATCCCAGATGTAGTCAGGAGGGAAAAGAAAATCGAAATATTACTTCATTATTCCCCTAGTTTGACATTGGTGACATAGTTCCAGAGATAGGTGGTGGTCTAGTCTCATGATGTGAGATGTTCCATTGACATTTTCCATTGTTCTGGAATAGGAATTCTCCACAGCAGTTCAGGGCCTGGCTATGTCTTTGTCTTCAGGTAAAAAATTGGAGTGAGGTTAATAGCCATTTGGGCCATTGCTGGCCCAGTGATAAGAACTGTCCTTTTTAATGGGTCCAACAGAGTACGTCCTTTCCCTCCTCATTTACCTGAAGACAGAGCTGAACAAGCCTCCATAACACTGCATGTGTGATGTCTGTTCAAGGCAGTGGACAGTGCCCATAGAAGTCTTATATCACATATGTAATGTTCACTTTCTTTGACAAATTTGTTTACATGTTGCAGGCTCAAAATTGTGTCTTTGAGTTACTATAAATCCTATTCTGTGTTGTGTTTGTAGATGGAGATGAGAAATCCTGGAAGACGTTCGGTAAGTTAGTACATTCTTTTTATTCCCAACTTAAATTTTATATACTGATCTCAGAGCAGAATTAATTCTTATTATTTTGTCTGTTTCACATCCAGGAATCTGGAAGTAGCTCGAATCAGCGCTCCCAATCTTCGGCTCAGCCAAATAAGTCTGGTGCCAAGCAGGGTTATAGTCCTTCTTACTGGGCCGCCAATTGAGCAGAGCAAGGCAGGTTTGGTGGATGGGGGGAATATTGGCAGGTGCTTTGTGAATTATTTACCGTATAACAGTTCATGGTATTTCATACTTTGTGCAAATCAATCATTGATGATTAAAACATTTTTGTCCACACTAAGATTTTTTTATCTATAAAAATATTTTAATCTGCAATGTATTATTTACACAAACTATGTCCAAAATGTGCTAAAGAGAAGACAACATTATTTGGAAATTGAGCTCACAATAAATGTAAACTATTTCTTGATGGATTGAACTTTTGTAGGTCACATTCTGCTCTTGTAGATGTTTATGTTGTCATTCCTTTGGTTACAAGGAGCCACTTTTCCAGTAATCCTTCAGCACATTAATTTTGTGTGTTGTGGTATTTTGTGTTAGCTTCAAGTAACGTGTGTAGGAGAATGTCATGCATTTGTATAATGAGGGACTGTAGCATTATCATCCCTTCTCTTGTATAGATTGTTTGATTATTGAGGAATTAAATGAAATGGAAATAATGTTAAACCACCTTGTTTGTATTACTTTATGATATATATCCACCTGTACCATCAAGCCTGTAGAAAACGTGTAGATGAAGTCTAATTTCTTGAGCATAGAATTCATTGTTTTCAGAAGGCTGTAGTTCTTTTTACTTTCTTTATCTCTTTTTGAACTTGAACATATAGAGTTTTGTATATGCCTTCTTGGCTTTTTGCACCCACATTATGTGTTCAAGTTTAATTGGACTTGTAGTGTGATCCTTAATGTACTTTGAGAATTATATCTCAAACTGTGTATTATATGTGTAGCCTAGTATTATTTTGTAAGTGCGATCAACAGTGAATAACTGAAATACTAAATATAATGTGTACTATTTTTCCTTCTGTATTTTCTATTGAATTTTTGTAGTATGCAAGAATAATTTGCTGTCACTGGTTATGCATAAGTAAATAAACATTAATATTATTTCATGGTCCTTTTTTTGGTGCAAGTGAAAAATGCCTCAGTGGCAAGAATTTAAAACTTGTAGTGATACGAGAAAGTAAGTTATAGGAACTAATATAAGCTTGGTATAAGAATCTGGTGCAAGAACATAATTTATTAGATTCGCAGTGTTCAAGGACAGCAATTATAAAGTGACTGATTTTGTTTTTGCTTCTATTTGATGTGTACAGTTCCTTTGCTGCAAATGAAATTGGACTCTTGGTGTGTTGGATACAATTTTTTAAGAGCTGAAAGAAAGTACATATAGCAGTACTAATGAAAGATATTATGAATAAATGAGTGGAATTTGTTTGGATAGTCTGAATATTATTTTCAGTCAAGTGAATGCCTTGAGCAATTCGATCTTTGAACATTGGAGGTGCTGTATTATATATATGTTTGAAGGTACTGTAGCATATAAAGCTGCAGGAATAGAAAACTGTGAGTAGGAACATATGGAAGGAAGGGGCAACAGGATATGAGAGCAGTTGCAGTGAATGATACAGAAACTGTGTTACAGGTACAGGAGAAAAGGTATGTATTCTAGTGTGATAGGGGAAGTCTGATTATGGGAAGGAACTAAGATAAGGTTGTAGCTTAGTAGGCCTATATGGAAAGAAACACATCTTTTAGAATGTAGGTTTGTTGTGCTGTTTTCAATGCTGCATAGCCAGTAGCACAGGAATATCGATTTTGGCACCAGTTCTGCTTTGGGGCAGGTAATTCTACCACTGTCCATTTCCAGTAATGCACAACTAATTCCCAAGTAATGTGCAGTGGGAACTCTACCTCTTGTTTTGTATGGACTTGAAACATGATGTCTTTCGCTGTGGAAGGAAGATAGGGTTGTGGGTGTTTGACACTAGGGTTCTGGGGAAGTATTTTGATCTGAAATGGAGGAGCTAATGGGTGATCGGCGAAAATTGCATAATGTAGTTTTATAGTTTGTACACTTAGCCACATTTGATGGTGGTGATCAAATCAGCAAGAAGAGAGATGAAGCACACATCACAAAGATGAAATATTCAGTCAGAAAAATGAAGAGAAGAAACCACTGGGAAGAGCTAGACATAGATGGGAGGAAAATATTAAACTGAATCTAAAGTGAGTGTGAAGAATGGATTCATCTAGCTCAGAATAGGAATCGGTGGAGTGCTCTTTTGTACATGGTAATTAATATTTGGATTCTGCACAACAGAAAGTAGTATGGTCTAAACTCTCCATAAATTTAAAGTTGTATTTTACTTGACATTCAGTATTGATGATCCCAGCTCCACAATCTCATTATTATTTTTCCTTTATTTCAGGCTTTCGTCTGCTTAGTCGTCAGGTCTGTTGTTGAGAATTCTTGAGGATTTTGCTGTAAGCGGGTAACTTTATGTGGGTTGAAGTTTGAATAAATCTCACACCAAAGATGGGATTAATGGGTTTAAGGTCACTTCCACGGCACAGGGTTTATCGTGACTGTGTGGCAACATCACAGAAATCAGAATGTCTTAGCAAGAATGGAAAGGCATACATATTCCAGTGAAGTACACATATTTGTATAAATCCATTTGTTACAAATTTTCATTCATTGCATATAATAAATTTCTCATATGTACAGGAGAATATATTTTGTAAATTTGAAATGTTCCTCGACTATTCATATTTTCTTAATTTTATTCTGTACTGTTGAGAATATTCATAATATTTGATTATACAAATCATTGCAGTTAATGGGTACTTATAACCTGTTATGTGAATTCATAAAATACAGAATTTGAACCATTCTTTAACATAATTGAGAACAGTGATTTGTCTGAAAATTGGGCTAGGATATCGGTTCAGTACAATTTTTCCACCATTAAATGTAACAGTAGGTAAGAAGATGCTGACAGTGGATCTTTAACCACAGGGAAAGATTAAATAAAGTATGGGCATTGTTTGCTTTGAATGTTTTTGTGTTTATTCTGGATCTAACAGCGTTGCTGGAGGAGAAAAGGAAATAGATTTTATTATACAGAAAATCTCAAACCATGCACTTTTGCTGGATATGAGACTTTCCAGACAGAATGCACGGTAATGCATTGTTGTTTCTATGTAATGAGGGCTCACCATGATGCATTTAGGCTTCAGATAGGGGTTTCAGGTCTTTTACAGTTCGAATGATAGCTCATGATTAGTTTTAGGAAGTTATTTATAATCTCCCAGTTGATGGACATGTAGAAACTATCAGTAGGTACTTTTATACATTATGGTTAAAAACAGGAATGAATTTCACTATTCAAGATGAAGCAGGCTCATAGATCATTTTGAAGAACGCTTTATTATGATGCTATGGCATATTAACAAATATAAGGATTTATACAGAACATACACATTACTTTCATATAAAGGGTAGATTTAATGGGTTCTATTTGTTATAAAGTAGAAGCGTCTGCCTCTAGAGTGGATTCTCTTTTCATTCATTAATTTATAAATCAGTTTCTCATAAACACTACATACTTCATTCATAGTATCATCAGTGATAATCCTTACTGTTTGCAACCTTATATCATGCACACATTATATTTGAAATTAATCATGAATTTCTATTTACAGTTGAATGGATTGAAACTTAATTGTTTTGTGACTAGACTTCACCTGTAATTATTGACTTACTAAATTTTTTTTTAATATTGTACACACTGATAGGTCTGTGTATGTTCTTATTAGATTAGTAGAATGCCCATTGAAAGTTCAACAGAAAGTCTCCTTATTACTGTTTACAGTTTAAACACTTTTGCAATTGTTATTTGAAGTTTTAAATGCCAGTGAGCAGGTGAGACTGCAGTATTACATATTTCATAAGAAACCAAGGATATCGCATGATTTTGCTATAACTTTTAGTGCAGGCACTGGTTTTGTCTTTTGGAGAAAATAATTTCCCTTAGTTTTGTATCTATATCTCCTACCATATATCATTCCCATCCCATTCGTTTGTCCATCTTGTTACTGTTCCTCACACCCTTTTTCCATCTTCACTGGGGCTATAATGCTGTGTGGGTCTTGGCTTCCTCCATGGATTTGTAACTGTAAATTTTTCTGGGGTGGGGTTGTTAGCCCCACACCAGACTCCCAACCTGGAGGATCAGGGACTGCACTTCATCTGGCCCCTACCCTTTGACTTGTCTGGCATGGGTGACTATCAGGAGCTGGTGCTTCAGCAAACATAGCTCTTCAGAACATTGGGGTGCACAGACCTCTCCACAATCAGGCAGTAGTCCTACAGGAGGTGTCTTCATGTTGAAACATATATTGCCCATAGGTCAGAGGATGAGAAAGTGTGTGCATGATGTATCAAGGCTGTTTGATGATTCATGCCATGTCACATACTGAGAATAATTACATCCTCTGTAGGAGTAATACATAAGACCACCACATATCTTCTGAGGTTTGTGTCCTACATGAGCTCAAAATCTGCCACTTTTTCTTTTATTGCTAGTTGGGTGGGACTAAGTCCCCTGTACTGCGGCCTCTTCTGGCCTCTTGTACCAGCCCCAGATGATAGGTGAAGGTGATTGTGGAGCAGTATAAGATTATTATACTTATGTTCTCTCTTCCAAGTTATGGTTTATTTTGACCTGATTTTCTGCTTTAATCCATTTCTTGTGCAATATATATAATTATCCATTTAAGTTTGTGTCAGTTTATTGTGTTCAGTCTTAGGCTGTATATAATATAGATATACACCTGAAGATATTTATTGATGGTGAAATATGTAGGGTTCATTTGAATACATATTTTAAACAGTTTTATTTGATGGTCTGATAATTTATTATACCCAAGAAAACAAAGCTGGATCAGGGAAAGAAGGAACAGATACTCCCTATCCCTGTGCATAGCAGCCATCATCCCTCTGCAGCTCTCACTCACTTATACTAATGAATTAAATGGCTCCCTCCTGCTTAGGCAAGGGAAGTGAGCCTGATTTGCATTGACAATTTTTATAATTCCAATACAGTTTACTATAAGAGGTAAAACTCTCCCTGTAACAGGCCATGAAGGCTCATTGGGATGTGAGAGGCTCCCACATTCTCTAGACAATCAGCTCATGGATGGCAGTGAGGTCAGCCTTACATCCCAGCTACCCTTTAATCACCAGGAAGATTCCTGGTACTCATTTCCATTAAAGGCTCAGTCGACCTCAGGGCCATAGTGTGGCTGGAAGGATTAGGTCAGTTGAAAAATTCAATGACATCAGGATATTTTATTTTTTGTTAAAGTCAGTGACAGTAAGGATTTCAACAACAAATGTGTAAGTAAAGTCACTGTGCTTAACTAATTATGCACTATGCCATGAAGATGTATGGTGGAGTGGATTGTAGTGCTATTGGGAAGTTCTCGGACTGTTGTTATTGTAACCGCCTCATTGAAGGAATATGAGAGGGGAGGCCAAGGTCACACTTTGCAAGTCTGTTGCATCAGTCTGCCCCATGACACCGCACTGTGAATGCGGATTGTTTTTTCATGAGTGCTTTTCCGACTTTGTGTTTCATTTTGTCTGCAATGGATGGCAAAATTGAGTAACATGTCTGCATCAAGTTTTGTGAGAAGCTTCGTAAATCTGCTGCCGAAACTCTTGAAATGCTTCATGAGGCTTTTGGAGAACACTCTTTAAAGTGGACAGCGGTTTTTGAATGGTATTCATGTTTCGTGGCCGGTTGCATGTTAGTTGAAGATGACAAACGCTCAAGGCGACAGAGCACCAGCAAAATGACGGAAAATGTTGAAAGAATTCGAGAACTCATCCACGAAGACCGTCACCAAACAATCCATGGACTCGCAGACACTCTTGCGATCAGTTATGAAGTTTGCCAAAAGATCTTAATAGAAAATTTGAAGATGTGCTGCATTACTGCAAATTTTGTTCCCCGTGTGTCTTGAGGTACGAGAGAAGACTAACAAGGACTCAACTTTATCTCTAGGATCATAATGGGTGATGAAAATTGGATTTATGGTTATGATCCAGAAACAAAGCAACAGTTCTCACAGTGGAAGAGCCCACAATCACCAGGAGCAAAAAGGTGCGGCATGGCCAGAATTCAGCAGACACCATGCTCGTTTTTTCGACATGAAGGGGATTGTTCACTATGAATTTGTTCCTACAAACACTACAGTCAACTCTGACTTTTACTGTGGCGTTTTCAGACATTTGAGAGAAAATGTGACAAAGACCGAAACTTTGGTGGCACCACAACTTGCTTTTCATCGTGACAACATGCCTGCCCACACATCCCTGAAAACCACAGACTGTGACTAACAACAGCATGGTTATTGTTCCCCATCCTCCCTGCTCACCGGACTTAGTCCCCTGTGATTTCACTTTGTTTCCCAGATTGAAAATGAAACTGAAGGGACGTTTTGAAACTGTCTGACATCCAAAGGAACTGCGATGCTCAACAGCATTGAGGAAAATGACATCCATGGTGCTTTTGAAGCGTGGACAAAACGGTGGGATTGCTATATATGATACGTTCCCATGGATACTATTTTGAAGATGACAGTCAAAATTTAGTAAGTTAAGCCAGCATTTCTTTTTCGACCTAGTCTGGTAACTTTCTGATAGTACTATTTTTTGGCTGTGGCACTAGTTGGGAGTAGTCAGCTTCACGCCATGGCCACTTTACACTAGAGAAACATCCCCTTGTACCCATTTGACAGTAGGCTGGATGAGCCTCAGAATCTGTCTGGACAACATGGAGAGGAGAAACAACTTTCCCCCTACTGGGACTTGAACTCTGACCCCTCGGCAGTCCAGCTCATAGCCAGTTGAACAACAAATATTAATGAAGTAAATAGTTACTACCTCCTATGGCAGGAAAGTGAACCTCACTTGTTATAAATTCCCATTTATGAGTGATGTTCTATGTTAAGATAAATTAATTATCTTTGCTATAAAATATATTACACTTTATTAAAGTTACTGACAGTATGGATTACAAAAATGAAAGGTAATATTATGTGGCTACCTCTTAAGATGGGGAAGTGTAGGTTGGGTGGGGATGGGCCTGCTGCTTCAAGCCTTCACTATCAGGGTTCATTCTCTACTTCACTTGAATGCACTTAGGCTACTTAAAATGTGTTTAAACAAAACCTGCAGTAAACTCCATATGGGTAAACACTTGGCAGATGCATTATCTGTAGGCATTTGCAAGGATTAAAAAAACAATCTACATGAGAATAAGAATTTCCTTTGGTAGACTTTTTCACCATACCATCAGCCACTACTCCACACTGCACTAAGTGTGTTACTGTATTTACCCGAGTGGAAGGTGACTGCACATGCAAGAGGACAACACACTAGGAAACACATGTACAGAAAAAGTAATTTTATAAATTTATTTCACATCTTACTACAAACATGTGAAAGCAAATAAATGTAAGAAAACATTATTCCTCAAATTCATTGCGTTAGTTTTCTTCTTGGAGTCTAATTGCCATTATACAGGATCACCAATCTTACACTGTTCACCATTCCTATCATCTCTCTCATTTTCAGTGTTTGGAGAATTTGCAACTTCTGTCTCAGAATGACTACTCATGTTCACTGTGAGCATTTCCAGCATCTTTTTCCCAACTTCAGTCCATAAAGTGCTCTGACTATCACTTCAGGAGAGACTGTTGCCATGGTCTTGATCCACTGGCACATAGTTTTACACTGCTTCTCTCTGTTATTCAGATGATTTCAGAACATGGTCCCTTCCAAAGAAGCCTTCAAAATAGAATTGTTTTGAATTATCTTTAAAAGACCTACTTGCCAGAATGTGTAGTTACACGTCATCCCATCAGGTATGACCTACCTACCTACCACTCATTGCTACAGCCCTAGGTGAGCCATGGCCTCCTCTACAACCAGTCTCCATTGCTCTCTATTCCACATCTTTATCCATCCTTTCACCGTCTTCTTCAGGCTGTTCCTTGTCCTTTGCTTAGTCCGTTTCCCACATGTTCCACTTATCCGAGGCTGGTTGTTAGGTTTCTGAACAAAAATCTTTTTACAGGATGAAGTTGTTAGCCTCATGCCCAACCCCCAACCTGAGGACCAGGGTATCTCTCTTAGTCTGGACTCTACCCTCTGATACTTCTGGCATGGATGACCTTACTGGTAGTTAAACTACCACCAGCTTAGCTCTCCAGGTCACAGAGTCATGCAAGCCCCACCACCACAAGGTAGACACATCTTTGGGGGATCCAGGTATGACCAGAAGCTCAGTATTCATTGCGTGACTCATATTCCATGTTAAATGACTTTTAAATGCATCCAGCACAAGCATTCCTTATTTTCTCAACAATATTTTGGTTGCAACCAGTCCCCAATCAGTTAAGTTATTCAGTACTAATTGTTTATCCATCACAACACAACTCTCAGAATCTCGTTCACATCAACTGTGTATAACGAGTTTATTGATTTATTGGTATCCTGCTACATGTTCCGGCTTATGAAAACCATCATCAGGCAGATATACACTAACAACTTATTCTTAAACTATTGAATTGCGTTCTGTATGGATATATATGTCACAGTATTACAATTATTATTAATGCTTCAGATTTTCAGTATTTTGTCAAAATTAAAGCCACTACTGTTCCTGTATATCCAAATAGGATAGGATGGGATGGTATGGACTGGACTGATCTGGCTCATGATAGGGACCAGTGGAAGGCTCTTTTGAACATNGTTAACACCACATATACACGGTGCCAAATCCCAGAAGACTGCTTTCTTCATAGTCACTGCCGTGAAAGCCTCAAATCTTACATGGTAATGAACCTTTGGGTTCCATAAAGCACTATGAAATTCTTGAATAGCTGCACAACTCGCAGCTTCTCAAGAAGGGTTCATATCCAAGTACAGGGTCCAGCAGGGAGGTGTGATGGTTTTCAGAAAACTAATACACAGTTATTTTTTGATGAATAGCAAATTTTAATGTTTTTAAAGAGTACATGTATAATGCCATTTAAGATGCTATAACAAAAAATAAAAAAATTTAAATTCATTTTCGGAAAATAACATCATACAAATGGCGTTCATTATTGTCCAGGCATTGTTGCAGACAAGCAGAAAAGTTGTCCATGGTTCTTTGAATCATAGCAAGTGGAATCGCTTTAATTTCTCAGATGATGGCATCTGAAAGGGCCTCAAGAGAGTGTGGTTTGTCGCTGTAAACCTTAACATTCAGGTAGCCCCATAAAAAGTAATTGCACGCCTAAGGATCTGGGGATCGTGGGGGCCACTCCACATCCCCACCCTTTGAAATGAGGTGCCCAGGAAAATGTTCTCTCAATAAGGCCATTGATTTTCTTGAGGTATGGCAAGTTGTTGAAACCAAACTGTAGTGAGGTCGATGCGACGTCTTCGCAATTCAGGCAGTAAGAACTCGTGCAACATTGTCACGTAGCATTATGAGTTTACTGTTACAGTGTGTCCGCCTTCCATGAAAAAGTAAGGCCAAATTAGTTAGATCTAAAACAACAAAGACAGGGCAAATAGATCAAGTGAAGGAAGACATACAAAATTTTGTAGGAAAAAGTGCAAACACATCCAAGAGGGCACTTGATGGGAGGTATTAATAAAGAAACAGAAGGCTTTATTGTAAAATGAACCACCCACATGGAAATCTCTATGGATGACTATGCATTACAGTCAATAATAGTGAGATTATAATACATCGTACATTCAACCAATGGTCACTTATGGCAGTATATTATCAGCACTGCACTAATCACATTTGTTGTAATGGCTGAAGTCCAAGTATTTTCATGCCCTGATTTAACACAATTCTGCTTGAATGAAACAGTAATAGTCTTTGTGATCCTATATGCACATCTTCATTCTTGATTTGAAGGACTTCAAAAGCACTGTTGATCAAGTTACTGAAAACAGACATTTAAATATGTTAAATATTATACATACTTCAGAGTTACATGCATTTCTTGCATAACATTTTATTTACAAGACCCTCACAGCAAGTTATACAAACAATTTCTTCTTCTTTAGTCTTCACAGATTAGGTCTTTTAGTCTCTTCTGATAACGAATTAATTCTGAAACTATCAGTCTTTTTACTTAGACATTTGGTAGGACTGTCTGAGACTTCTATCTGTATAGGATAATATAATACATATGCCCATGCCCTGAAAGGAATTTGAACCATACTGGCCTTAGACTGCTATTCACTAACTTTGGAATGACAAGCATGGATGGCTAAAACAAAGACAATTCTGAAGGTGTTTTAGCATGCTATATTAAGCATTCAGCTATCATTTTGTCAATCTCTCTATTCTGCACCTCTCAGAACAATCACTGTTATGTGATGATTAAAAAATGTAAGATTTGCCATTAATTTTCATCTGCTGAAATTTTCAAATTATGGAGAAGGAATTAAAATTCAAACCTAGCTGAAATTTAATTGAAAATAATGCAGTTCTGTTAGAAACTCCTTAAACTTCAAACCTGCAAGCACAGAATTTGGAAGAGACTTAACAATTGCTTTAGAGCAGCGTTTCTTAACCGCTGGAGCCAGGCATCGGGCCCTCATCTTGTAGAAAGAAGAATTTACCAGGCTGTGGTCTGACAAAAGTTGAGAACCAGTGCTTTAGAGTATCTATTCAGAAATGGCTCCGAATTCATTTAGTAAGCCTTTTCCACTATCTTCGCTTCAACTTCACTTCTACCAGCTTACAAATTAATTTTGGTCAGATATCATGCACATGCATGCAAAAACACAGAAGAAAGTTTGTTATTTTTTATTGTGAAAAATAACTGTAAATACAAAAAAAAAAAAAAAAAAAGGCCTAGGCAAAGCCCATCTGGCCCTCTGTAGCACAGTCTTATTCTATTACAGCAGTCTCCCCGCTCCTGCCATCCGTTGTTCCTATATGTGAACTACTAGAAGAGACGGGAAAGATTATAAATAGCAAAAATATAATATTTCGCATGTGATCAGACTGTGTGAAAAATTTGGTAGTTGATGGCAAAAGGCTTCTGAAAGTGGAAATGTATGAGAAACGTATGTTAGAAGCTCCATGCATGTGTGGGTGACATTTAATAAGAAGCTTCTATATATGACAGCATCAAGCACAGTACCTAAAAGAAGGCTCTTTCAATGTGAATACAATACAAAAGAAAATTCAGAAGGCTCAGATTCTGAAAATATGTGACATGCATGATAAAAACGATAAATCCATATAAAAGTTTGAAGGGAACTGTTGCATATGAGGTTACAGCAAACAAGAGAAGTGAAAATGAAATGAGACCTTAGGGATATATGCATGAGCACCACTATGACTTTTTTCCAAGGAGGTGCCGGCAGCCAGATAATTTGCGTATAAACTTATGTTTAAGCCATCTGAAAATATTTTTATAGATCACCGCAGAGCTGTGGATCCCTATACTGAAACACAGAGGGTAAAGCAAAGCTATTCGTGTAACAGGCCGTGAAGGCCCATAGGGTTGTGAGGCGATGAGGGTCCCACATTATCTAGACAATTGGCTCAAAGATGGCGGTAAGGTTGTCAGCCTTACATGCCAGCCGCGCTTTATTCCCCGGGAAAATTATTTAATTAATTCCTGGTACTCATTTCTGTTAGAGGACGAGTCAACCCCAGGGCCATAGTGCGGCCAGAAGGATTAGGTCAACTGAAAAATCCAATGACCTCATCGGGACTTGACCCTGCGACCTTTCGGCTTGTAGCATTGTGCCTCAACCAACTATGCTACCACATGCCACCCTGAAACATAGATGGTACCATATTTAAAATCAATTTTAATTTTTGGTATTGATATCAGGCACACTTCCTTCTTTTAAGAAAATCTTAGGAAAGGGAGACATCGCCCCTCCAAATGCTGGTGTCCATGGACATATTGCAAACTGGGCTGAATTGGTCCAGGAAAGGGTCCAACAGTGAGTTTTACAATGATGATGAATGTTGTGATTCCATAATAAATTTCTTACACACCTAAATACCTAACATCTCTAGGGAAAAAAGAATTTGTATTGAAGAAAGAATGAATATGAGTGAGCGACTTAGTTATTGCCTTACCAGAACTGTAAAAGGTAATTCACAAGAATGCAAGCTTCAAGGTCTTCATATGTTTTCATGATCACTTCATTAAATCTGTAAAACAATTCAAAACACTGTTAAGCAATTGCCTCCATATGTAACAGTACATCCAAACATAATGTACTTAAGCCCATACTCATTTACCTTGCTATGTTCTTTACTAGGAGGACAGCTTCACGTTCTTGAAGAACACTAGAATCACACTCTAGAGGAAGAGTTGCACCAGAATTTTTCTCTAGGCTACAAAGTCTACAGTGTGTGTACTGCAATTTCACTCCAGTATCACCTTGTACCTAATACAATGAAACAGAAGTTATTATAATTAAAGTATTGTAATTTACTATTTTCGCAACAGGTATATCAATTAGTGTAACACAAGTCCTGTAGAATATTGTAATTGGACACAATATCAAAAAATCTTGTTAGGTCAATTAATATATGTATGCATAAGATTTTTAGAAGAGTTCATACAAGTGAACATTTATATGACGCTGTTACACTTCACAATGGACTTAAAACAAGGGGATCCTCTATCACAATTATTTTTAAATTTACTCTAGCATATGACATCAGGAAGGTCAAAGAGAATCAGGAACATTTGGAAATGAAAGGCCAGAATCAAGTGTAGTACTTTTTATGCAGATTTATTTGCTGGGTGAGAATACAAATGCCATGAAAACAGATCTTACAGGCCAATAAAGAAACTCATTTGATAGTAAATGAAATAAAAACTAAATACAGGGATACATTATGACACCAAAATCTGCAACAGCTGTAATATAACCATAATATTGTCATTTATTTAAGTGTGACTATAGACAGGGTATGGACTGGTGAATGGATTTATTGACCACTTATACACACCACTCAGAATAACAATGCCACTGCTAGTCTCCACATTTCACAAATCATCACAGCACCCATTATGCCTTTTTCTAGCCTGCTGTCTTCCCCAGCCATTCCCTGGCAACATCTTCTAGCAGTGGAAATTCTTCAGCTTCACATGCTCAGGTCCTTTTATCACAGCCACACTCTTGCAACTAATTCTTTTCTTCACAGCCTGCAATACAGAACTCCTGAACACTGACCTACAGTGCCATCCCTTTCCAGCCTCCCTTGCACAGCTCAACTGAACTTATTGCTTCAAACTGTCCTGTTCTTAACATCTCAGCATGGGCCACATAGAAAATACTCTGCTTCCACAGTAAGTCTACTGTTTCATTTCCGCAGGAACATGTTCACCAAGCGGTCATTGTATAGTCACCTGTCTCATGGTCATTGCATAGCAATAGCTGTTGTCTTGTTTGTTTTGAGGACGTTGCCTAGCAACAGGTCTATATGCCACATTAGGTAATAAATAATTTGCAAATGTTTAAAAATTTAAGGTTCCTTTGCATAACACCAACAAGATTTGGTTATGATAACATCATACGAAGAATTAACTCTTGAAAAGCTTACTATTATTGAGTTAAAAAACTACTACACATCAAGCCCTGTCAATAACTAAAACAAAAACTACTAAACCATTAGTCTTGTCAGTCAACTGTGAAACATGATCTCTTTGAGAAAGGTACATAAGTTACAAATATTTCAAAAGAAACTACTTAGGAAAATGTTTGAACCAAACAGGGATAAAATATGTGGGAAATTTAGGACATTGTATAAATCAGTGAAGTTCCTCATTATATAGTCATCTATTATTGTTACGGTAATGAAATAAAGGTGATGATGGAACTGAATATGCAAATGCATTGCAGAAAAGAAATTAATACAGAATTTTCATGGGGAAACCTACAAGCAAGTACACACTTGGAAGACAGAGATAACTATGGAAGAGTAACATCAAAATGGATCTTAGGAGGATAAGTTGTAAAGATGAGATGGGGCTGGAGCTAGATCAGGATTGTGTCCAATGGTCAGTTAAGCATTAGACTTTAACAGGTCTCCTACTACAAACACAGTAAGGGTATTTAGAAACACACACATACTGTATCTGAATATTAAGTGCTTTTTCATGCTAGAGATGGCCTACAGGGTTTATAAGTGGAATGCCTGCTGATGGCTTGCACTTTCACTAAAAGTGTAAGAAACATGATGAAAAATACCAGTACTTGTATTAGTAGTGTGATGTGGGACATTCTATCTTAGTTAACAATATGATATGCTTCACACCTTATAACAAAACAAGGCTGGAAAGTTTCAATCCTCTTCAGAGGACAAGGAATTTTTATGGGCATTCTTTATATCTTCGAAATGTTAATGCTCTTAGCCATTCCATTTACTCCTTTATGAAATTATACTTCTATGATATCAATGATTATAAGAACTAAAAAGCCAATATGACTGTTTATAAGAACCATCTATACCAGATTTCATCATAATCCAGTTGACACTTCTTGAGCTGAAACATGTGGGTGGACAGATACATGCTTCTCTCCATGTATTTAACTTACTCATATCATGCAAAGAATGCATAAAGAATATTGGCTGCACTTGCCATTGGTTCACTGGTTCTAAAGGATTAGAAAGCAGAGAGATTTGAGTAAATATGCTTGTATGTCTGTGACAATTTCTGTACTACTATATTTTACCTGAAGAGCTCTGTTCCAGTCAAATTCATAGTCTCTTTTGCGTCTTTGCTTCAAGTCATTGATAATTACTGCAGAAGTACCCAGGATATCAGCTGTTCTCTCATTATTTTCACCAAGAAGTACTTTTGTAGCTGCAAAAGGGGCATTAAGTATTTTACTTGATATTATTTCAATCATTATAATATATTGGAACACTTCAGTACAAAATTAAATTAGTAAAGTAAATGTACTGCCAACTTCAAAAACATGTGCACCCTTTTGGGCATTCAGGCAGCACATGATGATAATACATGACTAATTATACTCATGAAACAAAAATTATTCATTTAATTAGTACTGTGCATTAAGTATTTATTTCCAAAACATGTGACTGATGCATGAGTAACTTCAAAGACTTATTTCAGAAATCTTAAAATATCTGAGGAATAAGCAACATTATTCTGTTGTTTTATGGTTCAGGATGACTGGTACAGTGAAATTTCTTTACTAATTTGTAACCAAACTCACATCATAACCGACTAAGCGACACATACTGAACATCAACACTGCATGGTTGAGAAACCAACTGTAAATCAGAGTCTTTGAATTCCAAACACATAAAACGCAAGAAGAGTTTTATCATACTGTGATTAATCAAAATACAAACAGAACACCATTTAAGGATGGAGCAGTAAATGACTTTCTGAAATATCATTCCTCACAATAAGTCAATCTTCTTTGCCCACTTGCAATCCAGAATCAAGAAATTGAAGTTTCTTTGTGAATCTATGTGGGCCTGATCTGACCTGATCGATCAATCAATTTATTTGTTCCAAGAATCCATATTTGGTGATACATACACACATACATTTCATTTCATTTTACAAGTCCAAACAAATGGACATGAAGGTCGTCATATAAAATTTAAACAAACGCACAGATAACAAATAATTAAAACTAATTGTTTATGTTATGCTCCACATATTCAGAAACTGTATAAAAGGAATTATTCATACGATATAAAAACAGCCTATTTTTAAAAATAATTTTATCCTCTTTAAGGCTTTGAATGGTTATGGGCAATCTGTTGAATAGTTTAATAGCAGCAAACATAGTACCTTTCTGAAAAGCAGAAAGATTTTAGTTTGGCAAATATAATTGCTTTCGATTTCTTGTATTCAAACCATGTACATCTAAACCTGAACAAAATTTAGTTTGGTTATCAATCACAAACATCATCAACGAGAGAATGTATTCACATGACAATGGCAGTATATTCAATTTCCTTAAAAGATCCCTACAAGAGTCTCTAGGTCCCACTCCAGATATAATACAACCTCCGGATACAGAACAAGTCTTCATGTGGATAAATAAAATAATTTTCCACTTGGAAGTGTAAAATAAAATGGTCAAGTGGAACTCATTAAATTCATTATTCTGTCAAACCTTTCACTGAACACTGCTGAATGGGTGATAACACTAGATGACCTTAATGAGCTAAAACATCTCAAGATGTGTGACAGTTACCAGTACTAAAGTACAGTGATTTTCAATGCAGCAATTTGGATGTTCCAACATTTAGACTGATACTGCAGCCTGTCCAAGTTTGTATGCACTGGATATGGGCTACTTTATAGAATACAGAATATGAACTTTACCTTTTGCCTCCTTTACTGCCAATGTCTAAGAATGTACTGATCTTAATATCCTCTTACTATTTATGAGAGAAAAGTACAAACTTACTTACTATGTGATTCTTGTTGCTTTGTTGCCATGATGTCTCTGATTTCATCCAAGATGTCTGAAAGAAAAACCACAGACCCTTTTCGAGTACTCATTCCTCGGATCCTCCCGAACTTGATATGTTTTAGTGAAGAAGCCCAAGGTAGCTGCATACTAGACAGAACCCCAAAGAGTGCTGCAAAATGGTCAGTCTGAGAAATGTCCACAACATATAACATTTCAGTAAAGTTATGTTGGTCATAGCGATCCAAGGCAGCAGCAATATCTCGTGTCAGGTACAGTGTTGAACCATCGCTCTTTATGACTGGCACACGCCACTGTTCGTTAATTTCCACCACTTTCTTGCCGTCACTTTCATTTTTCAGAAGACCTCTAGTTTCTAACAAATGTAAAATACTGCTGATTTGTTTACCACTGTATTGAGATTCCCAGCGGTATTCATCGAAGCGTATTCCCAATCGCTGATAAACATGCTGCAGTTCTTGTTCAGTGTAACTACGAAACAACTGCCATTTTTTCATATTATCTGTGTTGCCTCTTTCTAAGCTACAAAAAGCTTCTCGAGCTCTAGCAGAGACACTTGGATCAATTTCTGCTCTCTTATTAGCTTCAACGTAAGCCTGGTACAGCAGCTGCAGAGGATTTTGTTTGATCATGGTCTCTGAATAGTCACACATATCTAGTCCCACTTGCAGCAGCCCAAACTGTGTCCCCCAGTCTCCAAGATAATTGATTCTAACAACTTTATGTGACAGAAACTCAAGTATATTTGCAGTAAAGTTTCCTATTATTGTTGAGCGTAGGTGACCCATATGGAATGGTTTGGCTATGTTTGGTGAGCTAAATGTAGGGGAAAAGACATATACAATAAATATACAAAAGTAATATGGCAGAACACAGACAACACTGATTTGGGATCTGCAATGAAGTCAGTAGAACTGCCTATGTTACAGGACCAGTAACAAGTGTTAATGAGCATATACGGTATATCCTCAATTCGTTTCTCTGCACTGAATTATGCTGTCATCAAATAAATTTTCCCTCCACTTGTTACGAACAGCTGAAAATAACAGGATTTTTTTTTCCACAAGAGAAACACTTGCCAGAAGTGACAGGAGGACAGAAGTACAACTGAATAAAATGTGTTTTCTGAAGACCTATGTGAATTTGTTGAGCTGCATTACTGAAGAAAAGAATTTGTTAATGATAGAATCACTGAAGAAGAAAACAAATTCCATGCATACTGAATTACTGAGTCTATTAAAATGTGCTGAACTAAAGTTCTGTGATATGATTACACACAGAATATTCAAGGTAATGGTGGGGGGAATAAATTTTCATTAACCAAAATTGTTATTGTAATACACAGTGAAATTAATTTTACATTTAGATACAAAATGTGTTGCAAATCACACATAAAATTACAAAGCTGAATTATTATAGTGAATGTCTGAATTAATGGGATGAGCTGATATTATGTCTGAATTTTATACATAAATCAATATTAAAAAAAAAGATCCCACCACATTAAACCCAAAGCCTCAAATTTTCCAAAAGAAAAGCACTTTTACTTTTACTTATACTTTAGTATTATAGTACTGACTAATGAAAGCTATTCAAGACACCTCATAACCCACAAAGCCAGCCATCATGTCCCAACTGTAGAACACATATTGCTATTTGGGAAAACCCGCTATAGATGTATGGTTTTTGGTTATTAAGTATTTTTTTTCGGAACATAAACCCCTTTACACTTTCCAATTTTGGTAATACAAATTTAATTTTAATATGAATGTATTCTAACCCATTATAAATTCCATATGCCAGACAGTTTTAAGATCCTAAAACTAAATCATAAAGGTCTTATAAAGAATAACAAAAAGCAGAGTGGACAATTCTATATGTACATATACTTTAAATCTTAACACCCAGGTATCTGAATCCCTCACTGCATAAACATGTGGGTTTCTGTCAGATATTCACACTTGCCACAAGAATTCATCACAAGTAGTTACTGCCATGCAGACTACTTTCTGAGTTCATGCAATTCTATTAATCTGGAATTGAATATAATTTGATCAATGCAAATGCATATCTCAGCTCTAACTACTTCTGGGACTGCAATCATCCAAGAGTTACTAGTAATCTGAACATTCAATATGAAAAATAAGTGGTTGTTTCAGGCACCTGTAGAAGAAACAGATTAGGTCTGTACTCTCAACACTTATGGAAATTGATACCAATATTGATTTGAAACAATTGAAATGGGGATGTAAAATGAAGAAAAATATTATATTAAGGAGAATTAAATGGTGGTTGCATTGTTAATATACCTATGGAATATTATTTTAAGCAATTTAAGCAATGGCAAGAATGGCCTAACCTAAGTCACCAGTGCCTACATGGGACAAAACAGTGGTGATCATCTTCAACATTGGTGCCTGTTACACTGGTTATCTGTGTTGCAGGTAGTACAAGTGTACAGAAAATGACTGGTTGTCTAACTAGGTCAGACCACATCTGCACAGAATCGTCAATTACAACCTATGTGAAAACATGGCTCAAATGAGAAGCATGGGGGAAAAACAAACACCACTCCATCCAGAACTAGTGTAGTGGGATACAGAACATCTTATCTGTAAGCTCTTTACATCGCCCATTGTAAGCAGAAATTCTTTTGAGCTGACTATAATACAAGGTGGTTGAAATACAACCGGGACTGATTTAAAAAAAAAAAAACATAATTGCCAGACACTACTTGCACATGTCAGTATTCAACGTACTCCCCTTTGGAGTCAACACATTTTTTCAACGTTCTGGAAGCATCCTGATGCCCTTTTCAAAAAAGGCTTGTGGTTGGTGGCGTATCCACTCTCGAACAGTCTGGACGACAGCGTCGTCCACAAACCGCATGCCTTGCAAGTCTGAGTTGAGCCTTCCAAACAGGTAGAAATTACTTGGGGCCAAATCAGGATTGTACAGCGGATGTGTCAGAAGGTTCCATTACAATTTCCAGAGGGTTTCCATTGTTGTTTTGGCCGTATGGGGGCATGCATTGTCTTGAAGGAAGGCTACCCTCTTTCCACCTGTCTTCTGCTTGGATTGGATCTTTTCCTTCACGTCTGTTGCCAGGAGGTCACGAGTAATAAGCTGCATTGACTGTTCTGGCATCTGTCAGAAAGTGTACATGGATAACTCCCTGTGAGTCCCAGAAGAACGTTGCCATCACTTTTCCTGCTGAATGGCTCCTCCACGCTCTCTTAGGTTTGGGAGAACTGATATGCCGCCACTCACGTGATGACTGCTGGGACTCAGGAATGAAGTAGTGCACCAACGTTTCATCGGTGGTCACTATAAACTTCAAAAATGCATCACCTTCGTCTTCAAACTGCTGTAGAAGACGACCGGCAGCTTGCATGCGCACCATTTTGTTCGTGTCCATCAAAGTACGTGGCACCCACCATGCATTCACCTTGCGATAGTGCACGTGGTATTTCACAATGTCTTCTACACTACCAACACTGATGGACAGCATTGCTCCAAGTTCCTTGATAGTGATGCGCCTATTCTCACGAATAAGTGCATCTGCATGATCAATGTTTGGTTTGGTGACAGATGTTCGCGGCCGATGATCATGCGATTCATTCTCCACGCGCTCTCTGCCCTCTCTGAAGCACTTACACCACTGAAACACATGCGTCCGTGAGAGACACTCTTCCTCATACTGTTGTTGTTGTCTGGTGAATTTCGGCGGACAGGACGTTTTCTCCAACGAGGAATTTGATCACAATGTGTTGTTCCATGCTCCACGTTACTTTCTGTTCGCTCATCACTCTAGCAACTCCCAGACAGAACTGAACAGGTTCTAACCCAAACAGGAGGGAGGGTGGAGGTTGTGGCTTCACTCTCTCAGGGTAGCACAGCTGCTGCGCAGTGCGGCTTGTTTACACACAAATCAGTCCCAGTCATATTTGAACCACCTTGTATATTTTACTGAACCCAGGTAATGAGGATATTAGATAACATTAATTGACCATAAATAATTAAATACTAACTCTGTGGCACTGTTTTTTTTTGCCAGTTCAGAGCTATTCATTTACATTCCACAGATCCTTATATGGCCGAAAGACCAGTGGATATAGATATTCACCTTGTCAATAAATTGTAAGCTTGACCACAATTCAATGTTTTATCATTATATTATTCATTATATTATTATTATGAATATTTGTATTTATTATTGTAAAGTATTTGACTTGTCCTATATCATGTGTAATGATCCATGGATATGAAGTAAATATATAAATAAAAACAAATAAACCTGCCCTCAGACCCCAACCTGAGCTACTTCTATCCATTTTATACATTTCCCCTCCATTTCTCCAAGATCCATTCTAATATTATCCTTCCTCTATACCTAGTCACTCATGTGATTTCCTTCACTGTTTTCTAATCAAAATTTTAAAAACATTTAATAGAATTCTTACAATGAGCCATATTTGTCATATAATGCCCTACCTGTATTCCACAATAACTTTCTTTTCTTCTGAATGTGGAAGTAAACTTCGAGCAAGTGTTTTCCTCCACTTTATAGGATCACTGACTATGTCCTGCAATACTTCCTTAATAAACACATTTCTGTTTATTTCAAAAACAATACTGACATCCTTTTTTATTGTTTCCTCATGTACTTCACATATGATGTCATCTGTGACAATTCTCCTCACCTCACACATATTAATTTCCTTATCTCTGCTCAACACTTTCTGTAATGAAGTTACTGGTAAGCAAAATTCAATGTTTGTGCCTTTTTGGCCTTTTCCAAGTGTGATGTGGTGAGAAAGAAGGGAAGGCATAAAGGTGTTTTGACTGGTTTTCCAATTCACCACTTCCAGAATCTGTAACAAAACACAAATCTCAATTAGCACAACTACCTCTATGGAGTAGAGTCCCCCTGAGAAGCTAACAGCACACAGCTGTTTGAGAAATTTGTCATCTTTTAAAGAATGCAAATATTATAACCACGTTCACAAGGGTCTGTCATTGATTGATTGATTGATTGATTTATTTCGTCACTGTAGATCATTGTACATGATATATGACAAGTCAAGTTAATTCTGAATATTAACAATTTGATATATAAGTAGATTAAAATTACAATAGTTACAATTTTTTTTTTTACTGCTGATTACAATTTAGAATTAGTTAGATTTATGGAGAATTTGATGGCATTAGATCATATCCTGCATACCTGTGGCAACAGGAACGGCAAAAGGAAACTCCTGATCACTCAACTAGTCTCAGTTAGTGGACCAGTCACTGAGACTAGTTTTCTCTATACCTGATGATGTAAACAGAGCCTGTATCTGAATAGTTGTGGTTTGGAGGAAAAATAAACTAAAACAAATGACAACATAAAAAATAACAGCCCTAGTTATGGTCTGACTTTGATCCCAGGTCAGGTCATGTGGGCTTTTTGGTGGACAAAGTGGCATTGTGAGCAACTTTTCTTCAAGTTTCCTCTGCTAATTCTCATTCCACCACCTGCTGCCTATTCATTAATCATCTTGTCACTGATGCTACATAATCTCGAAATGACAGTGTCATTTACAAACGTACACACAATTTTGCAGAAACCTTTGGACTAGACAAAGTGACGATGTAGGTAGTTGTCTTCAAGTACTTCAGTTTCCCCTGCTAATTCTCATTCCATCAACTGCTGCCTACTCGTTAATCATCCTATTACTATGCTAAATTGTACTGATACTGATGTCAATAACAAATGTACACATGATTATGCATAAACTTAACAAACTCTCATGTTTAGGGACCTTTTAGCACAGTGAGATTACTGAATGCACTATAAAACTCAAATGCCATGTAAGAGCTTGTACAAGGCTATAACATTTATGCTGAATAAAAAGAGGGATATAACTGCAACCTAATTAACTCATTCTGACCCACTTGAGGAGGCAGAGTCATTCTCAGGAAAATAACAGTCAGTGAGATGATCAAGAAATTCCCTGTCTCCATTGGAACTAGAAGGTTCATTACGATGTTCACAAGTGCTTGCCACTGATCCCTATCCATAGCCAGATGGATCCAGTTCACTTTGTCATATCCTATATCTGTAAAGTCTATTTTTAATATTATGCTCCCATTTACATCTGTGTTTGACAGTGAGTTACTGACAGCATTGTTAAATAAAGACTAAATAAAATACATACATGGCGCCTGACTGGGGTAATTCTGCCATAACAATATGAGTTGATGGAAGGTGTCAAAACGTGGCTGAGCTCACATGTGGCAGACTTCTTTGACACAGGCATACACAAACTCATTCCCCGATACAAGTGCCTCATTTCCCGCGGTGATGATGTTGTGAATAAGCTTATGTATGAATGTATTTTTTGTATATAATATTTTTTTTCTCATTGCTTGTTTTGTTAACAGCTCATCAGAGGTCACTTTCTGAATATCTCTAGTACTACCTTGTTCACATAAGCCTGTCAATTCACAATATCCCAGATAGTTGAATCTAGCCCATTCCCCGTTCTCTTAAGATCCATTTTAGTATCACCCTTCCATCTCTGACTAGGTATCCCAAGTAATCTCCTCTCTTCAGTTTCACGACCAAAATACAGTACGCGATTCTTTATATTATAAATCATTCTGGTGGTCTAGAATAAATAAATAAATGTATGTACATATATACATGCACATACTCTCACAATTTGGTTCCCAACAAAAATAACCAAGAAAGTTTACGGTTAAGTTGAAGTTCCACTCAGACTCAGAAAGTAAGTTGAACGCGGGTATGATTAATGATAAATTTTGAATACATCTAATTCTCTACTATCATGCAAATTGAAATGATGTTTAGGTTCATATCTCTGAAACTAAATACTATATACGCTCGAAGACTGCGGAAGGACATGAAGTGCTCTTCATTGTAAGGTTATGTTGTACACTTACACGAGAACAGATATATGTTTTTAGCTTATGTGCCATTGTAATATTATTTCAATTGTTCTGATGTTATAGACGAAGAACGGTCCTCACTGCTCGTAGGTTTATGATTTCTAACAATTTGTACATCTACTGCGATTTCATATAACCATCATCATTCAAAACATTACTACCGCATTTCCCGCATTATAACGGAAGTAAGATCATAGATTTACTCTTACGGTACTAAATGTCGTTTGAATCGTATTATACAATTAGTTACGACGACTGCATAAGAATTTCATTGCATAATAAGTTAAATTCTTAAAATTTAATTTCTTTCATTACTTTTGAGCTACTTATTTGTATAACGTATTTGAATTGACACCAATTTACTGACGTCACCACCTGTCTAGCAGTCGCCATTTTATAATGTTATAGTGGCTGTCGCACAGCTGAGCTGTCATTGTGAGTTGAAATTTGTCTGGTGATTAGTGTTGGATTTGGGGGTTTCCATACCCCAGAGTGTGTATAATACTGGTCATTAAAAATGAGTGTCAAAATGGCAGGACAGACTATAAACGATAGGTTACTGGCTGCCAGACATAGTATAGCCGGCCAGGGATTGGCGAAGTCAGTATGCAAAGCAACGACAGAAGAAATGATAGGCCCCAAAAAGAAACATTTAGATTGTGAGTATTAAATGTTACCTTCCGTTTAGTGCTTGTATGGAAATTATTTCTGATACAGTTGAGTATTTGGTACTGTGAGGGCGTAGAAGTGTGTAATGACATATGAACACCCGTCTTGGTTGCATATTACTAATTTTTAGATTGTCACCGACTGTTAATAAAATATTGATTGGTAAATTCCATTTCTGCGCGTTTTGTGGGCGTATGTACTATTCATATGCAGGAGGTTTGTGAAATACTACCTGATAATGTTAGTTTAGGAGCTAGGATAAATAAAATTTTAGTAATGAATTAGCCCTGACCCCAACTGTGTTCCTCTGCGTATAGCCCTGACCGAAGAATCAAGAGTACCAAAAAATATTTCTTCTGCAGAGGGGTTGAGATGTAAGACGTAAGAACAGATTCTCTTAGATATGTAGGGGATTTTTGTTTCTCCAAAACTTTCTTTGTACAAAGTGAATAAAATATTAAGTTCCTTGAAGGCAAATCTTACAAATTATATTTGATTTTCATCTAAGTCATTCTTTGAAGTCGGGTTGCTGGTTATTAAACATTGTAAGTTTAATTGCTGTTTTATGTGCATGTTTTATTCCTCAAATATACATACAAAGAAATTATTGTGAAGGTAAAGGTAGTCTTGTTCTTGTGCTTTATTAAGCAAGCACCAATCCAAGAAGGCATATGGGAAGGTGAAATTAAAGCTGAACTCATTATTAGCCTTGGCACTGAATTGGGGCGAGTGCTTACCTTCACTCTGTATCAACTTCTCAACCAGAGAAAGAACCTCCTGTATCAATTGGATAATAGGTTGGGTGAGTTCCAGAGCTAGTCTGGACACTCTGGAGAAGTGAAAAATCAAACACAAATTCCTTGGCCATCCTCCCCGTAAACCATCCTGAGTTGTCTCAGCTCTCCATAAACCATCCTGAGTTGTCTCAGCTCTCAGACGTTATGCAGTGTAAATTCAATTCTGAAAAATTGAATTATAGGTAGTTGGTTCTATTCCCATCACGTTACATACCTGGTATTCCTCCCATAACACACTTTATTAATGTCCAAAACAGATTCTTTATGTAAGACCATCTTTTCTAATGTTTTAAGGGTAATAGGGTGTGTACTGACAGATGTTTAGCTTTCTAACTGCCATGTCACAGTACTAATTTTTTTATTGTTACACAGTAATAATCAAATCCAGACTCATTCAGTGATGTGTGGTGAGTGCAGTGTGAGATTTGTCTTCAGGGAGCAGTTCAAAATGGTAGTTTAATTTCAAATTTATAAAGATTAACAATTGTTTTCCTACAGTTTAACAGTGTAATAAATGTAAAGAATGTTTAAGAATTACACAACAATGGACTATAGGGAGAGTGAATGTAAAGGTTCATAAATTCTTGATTTATTCACCAGAAAGAACTGAATGGTCAGCTTGATAACATAGCTGTTTTACCTATTGGAGAAATCTGCACGTTTTTAATTTTTTCCCCCAAAACCCACATTCAAAAACCGGATGCATCTTAAATTCGAGGGTGTCTCGTATTTGAAGTAATATGGTATTTCTGCTTATAATATATGTGGTTATTCATATAAATTATTAAGCACACTATGGCCTAACTTAGTAGCTGTTGGAGAGAGAATCTGGGGCAGAAAATGTGACCAAACAGTTGTCTGATTTTCTGCTGTTTCAGAGTTATGAGGTTGACAACTTATTCTTTATTTTTTGTATGTGTGTGTGATGGATCTTCCATAATGTCACAAGGTGGAGCTCATATTGTCTCTTCTTCTTGCATGCATTGGTTCTGATGGGAAAGTCAAGATAATGAAAGGAGATGGCACAATGTTCTGATAGGTATTTTGTGTGTGGCTTTTGTGATGGAAATGCTAGAACTGAATCAAGGGAATACCACTGTCAGTATCCCCAATGGAGGAAGCTGAGAGACATGTTTACAGCGGTATACAGTAATCAGAGGAATACAGGTGCATTCAGATTCCCAGCATGCATTCACTGTTTCATGTGCAGGACAAAGAGGAAGTCCAGGTCCACATATGGAACAGACCTGCCTCAGAATGCATTCGTGTCCTTTTCATGCACAAATTTTGCAAAGGCCTTCAATATTATCTATGGCTTCTACATGAAACTGTAGATGAGTGGTGACTTTTTGTGCCATGTACTGTGAACGAAAGAGGCATCATTTGGAAGGAAAGGAGTAGACAGTCTCGACAACCAGAATGGTTATTGGGAAATCTTCATGTTGCTCCACACTGTTCATTTCAACAAAGATTGAGCATCAACTTTTGGGCCAGAATCATAGGCAGTTACCTAATTGGACCGTATGTAATAGTAGATAATTTCTGCGGAAACTAGTGTGCCGATTTCCTTGAAAAGCATTTCCCTGTTTCTGGAATCATTGTTTTCCATTCATTGTAATTAAAAGTAATAAACGTTGTTGCATGTAAGTAAATAATTAACAATCAAGTTCCTTCCGTCAGATGTGACACTTTTTAAGTTTTCCACCTCGTCACCACCTGCCTTACATGTTTCGGCTCACCACGGAGCCATCATCAGAGGCATTTATAGTAGAAAAAGAAATCACCAACACACATCACATCAAGCAACATCAACTACCGACAGACAACACACGTCAACAACATCCCGAAGCAAAAAGATTGGGCCAAGCGGGAAAGAATTCTAGGAATTTTAAGAATTNCAGTTACCTAATTGGACCGTATGTAATAGTAGATAATTTCTGCGGAAACTAGTGTGCCGATTTCCTTGAAAGAGCATTTCCCTGTTTCTGGAATCATTGTTTTCCATTCATTGTAATTAAAAGTAATAAACGTTGTTGCATGTAAGTAAATAATGTACGTGTAAGATTTGAGGTTCTCACGACAGTGAGCTGCAGAGCTGCTTGCCACCTGCTTTCACGCTGGTTTCTTCCTTGGATTATTCTTCAACTCTGAAGATGGAGGTGATATGTTCCTTCGAAATGTCAGTTCACTTTGAGCGGCCTATACGGTGTCCCAGTCCAGAAGATAGTACTCTGAATATGTACATGATTTGACATTTATTTTATTTTCTAAAAATATGTTGAAATGTCATAAGAAGTGTGAATAATAGAACAGAAATGTAATTACATTTTCTGCTTCAAATCAGCTTCCCAACAACCCCAGAAGTTTGACCATAGGGTTTTGAATCACCCCGAGGAATTTTTAAAATAAATTACTGGAAATACTAGTTTGCTGATATGCATATTTTGGTTGTAGTGTAATTTTAGGCATTTATATACATGCTGTGTAAATGGTAAGCTGTTTAGAATGTAATTATGTGTATTTCTAGGTATTTTCTGAATGTGAATTAGTGTACTTCCTCATGTTCACATTCTGCTTACGAGGGTCTGTGGAATGCATCCATCTAACTAGTTAATGATATAGACAATCCAAATTCTGGTAAAAATGGCGACCAGTATGCTGATTCTCCATGAGCTTAAACTAGCTATGTGTCATGCCTGCACTGCACTAGGTGCCGATTTTCTGATGTTCAGTAAATGGTGTGGTTCAGGCAGTCATTAGTGGTGCATGATGAATTGGACATACTGCCCTCTCATTGTTTTGTTAGCTGTTTCCATGCCTAATGCATTCAGATACAGTAGAAGTGCATATCTTCTGCTGTGCATAATTTCGTAATATTCAGTAATATGTGCTATATGTACGGCATTTAAGGCAGTCTTGATTGTGTCAGAATACAGTTCATATAAGTAGTGCCACAGAGAATTGAAGATTAAAATGTCAGAACAAGAGGGCAACGCATCGAGGTAGATTACATTGAAAATTGGGTAATGATGAGACTGTTGTCAGCTTTCTTGAAATTGAAGGTTTCTGAAGCAGCTCAGACAGATTTTTTATTATACCATTCCGCCAGGTTGTGAACACTGGGGTGGATTTGATGCGTCATTGTGGTGCATGAGTACGACGAATCAGAATTCTATTTAAGAGTTTTGAAGAACTCTGGCTGTAGAGGAAGGTGCATGGTAATAATGAAAATTCTCTTGTCTGGCAAAAGACCCATGAAATGTTCTGTTGTAAACATTAAAAAACTTGAAGGTGAAATGCTTGATAGCTATGTTTGCATGGTTTAGATGCTGTTTAGTCTGATAGACGTTTACCGACATTCGTCTGGAATTTCGGTTAACAATCAGACTACACGGTGACACATCCCAGAAGATTGTATGCTGCTTAGTCACCGTCATGAGAACCGCAAATCTCACAACAAATAACCCCTCGAAATCATCTTTAAGATATGCGAAAATGGGCGGATCTGTGGTAACTAGAAAAGGCGCTCGTGTATGCGTCTGATGACATTGGCGCAGTTTGTACGTGGGCGACATGGAGTCAGTATGAGTATGAGCCAGATGTGATATAGACATCAAGAAGAATTTCGGCGTTCCGCTTCCATTTATGCAGAGAGAGAATGCAAAAATTAAAATAATGATACAACCTTGTGATCTATTTGT